CAAGGCTCTGGGCGTGTTCCAAAGTAGGATCTAAGGGAAGACGCCTGTGTCGGCCTTTTGTATGAAGCACCAATGCACAGAACCAACTCCGAGGCTCAGGTCACATGGTAGAGCAACAGAGCAGAGCATGATGGGCCGGCAGCCCGGAGCAAGTCTGAGTGGTCTACTTAGACCGTTTCGACGGAAAGACGCTGTTGTCTCCGCAAGTATCTGACCTCATTATTTGATCGACTGCTGAACTAGCTCTTCCCCTTTGGAAGTGTCTCCACTCCTCTCTCCTGCCCACCTCCTCTTAATGTGGACTCCGGGTACAGCCTCCTAACCTGGAGGGAGCTGTCATTCCTAAGTTCTGCTTTCCATCTCTTCCTCTGGAGGAACTCAAACTCAATGCTAAGTGTGAGGGGCTTCTGTATGGGTCTGGGGCCCTGCTTGTGAAAGGGAGGGAGCGAGGAACAGCAAATCCTTTTCTAAACGCCGTGCTTTTGCCCAGAGCTGCGTCTCCATTAGGGGAATTTCCTGAAGCCTGCGAGAGCCAGGGTGAACGGTTCTTCTTAAGCACAGTGTTTTGGTGAAGTCCGTGTGTGATAATACCACTGTAACCACAGAGGAATTTACCACAGGAAGTATCCCAGCTGTGACTTATTAGCATTAGAACAAATTACACAAAGCAAATTGTTAACAGACATGTTTCCATAATATTTAACTGGTGGCCATAAATAACAGAGATTCTCTTTCAAGTCAAGGTTAGATTTTCAAAAATCCAGCTTCCAATTGTCCAGGAAGGAATCGTCTTCGATTAGGGTAACCACTGGGGGGAAGGACTCCCTGGAACTTCCCTCGACAGCACAACAGCACGACCAGCAGTTGGGCTGGAAGCTCAAGGGCCGTGTGAGCGAAGCGGGACGTCGACCCCGGGGTGACATAGAAGGATGGAAAGAGGAATGACTGCATCTCTAGACTTCTGGATTCACTTCTGGGGTCCCCAACCGGCCCTCTCATGCCACCAGGAATATAAGACATGGTGAGACAACAGCACAGCTGGGCAACTACTCAGTTCGTGGAGTGTGTTTATGGTACAAAATAAACCACATCCACCAACAGGTTTTCATCCCTCTCCTTAACAAAATATTGCAGCTTTAAAAAGGTCACCTCCTCCCTCACAACCCGATGTCTTCTTATCTGAGGTTTAAAAAAAGAAAGGTGAGTCCAATCTCTTCATCCTGTAACCCCACCAGGGAAGAGTTGAAAAAGTGCCCTGTGAGAGCAAACACTGGCACTCACCTGCTCACATGTATGAAAACCTGACTATGGAGACATCAAGGAGAATATTTCCATCTTTCCCGACTTTCTGCCAATGACTAAATTCAAGTCCTTGGTCACTGCTGGGAGTTTCCAATTATCTTCAGAGTTACGACAAAATTCTCCTAAAGCAATCTCAAAAAATAATTAAAAAAATGATTTTAATTAAAAAAAAAATTCCATACAGCACATAAATACAAAAATAGGTTATTGCTGCTTCAAGGGTTGAGGCTGTTAGAAGAGGTGCTCTTTTATTGTTTTCCTATGAAATTTATAGTTGTATCTTCCCTCTGTCACGGCTTTCCTCCTCAAGTAAACCAACCTTCGCTCAGGATTCCTTCCATTTGGTTCTCCTGAGGAGTTCTTCATTCCTTTTTCCTGATGAAAGGAAAAAACCCCGGCAGCTCCACTGAAGAGAAATGATGGGAGCCCGGTGAACGCTCTGGTGGGCATTCTAAACAAGGCGCTCAAGACGTCTGTTCCCTGCCCCACGGGCTGCCTGGCTAGGTCTCTGCCTCAGTCACAGGGGCCCTGGACTGGCTTGACCCGTCCAGCCAGCCTGAGGGATGCAGGCCCAGAACCCCAGAACCGTCCCCCAACTGCCTCCAGGGCGCACCCTGCTGGCAGCAGAGGGGATAGCTGGTCATAACAGCCTAGAGTGGGTTCTGCTCCAAGTTGCAGCTGGGAGGCATTCTAAACCAAGCAACTGTAAAACTGATCCGCTCTCGGCCTCTTCTAGGCTCTTCCAACTACTGTTAGAACTAACACACACACACACACACACACACACACTTTTTACCTGAAGTCTTCACAAAGGGAATCATGCACTTATAAAATACTTAAAATGATTTAGGCAACAGAATTGTCTTTAGATTTAAAAAAAAAAATGTTTGACACAGGTGATTGGAAATGTCTGGACATGCACACACACACTCACCCACTCTAATTTGGAATTATGCAAAACTATATCATTATTCACTGCAACCTGAAGCAAAGCTACTGCCATGGAATAACAAGTGTGAGGTTCCCAAAATAAGCTCGCGTTTGGACGAGAATGACACACATGGCCTGACTCTTTAAGGTCCATTTAGAGGAAATGGCCTGGCATGTTTTACATTTGCTGAGCTATTTAGCTGCCTGGTCTGACAAGATTTTTGAAAGGGGTGAAAATTAATTATAATTGCAGTATTGCTACAATAATTTGGTTGGCTAATTGCATTTCAGTGCAAAAACAGGCAAGGAGGAATTTCCTCCCTGGGTTATTTTCTGATATGGCAGCATTCATTTTAAGAGTAATGAGATTTTTAAAAAGTCAAACCTTAAATATCATGGCTTCAGCAATCTGTCCTGCTTAAAGTTTAATGCAAAATGAGATCGCACCTCCGTGAGAGCAGTTACACGTGAACATGGATCCAGTTTTCTCCTAGACTTGAGAGGAGAAAATCTCTCTCCCCCGAAAACTACTCACAGTATCTCTTTGACATTGTTTGGGGATGATTTTAATTTGGGGGCACCAATGCTCCTGCTTTTGTAGTGAGGGAGGCACTGGTGAGGGTGGGTAGGAAGGTTTGAAAGTCTCCCAACAAGGTATGTGTTGGCAGAAGAGGCGCGACAGGTCTGAGAGAGGAATGTGAGTGGAAACCCACGGATGCAGAAAGGGTGGGTGAGTTGTGGTGGGGTTTTCTGGGCCTCACCATTTTCACGTTGGCTTTTGAGGGAACTTATCTAGCTCCAGACCAGCCATGAGCACTTAACTTAAACTCTGAGGGACAGAGTCATTTTATCTAAGATGTTGGAAGACTCTGTCCCAAGGCCTGATGATACCGGGGTAGCGTTGTCAGGTGCTGAAAGCAGCAGACATGAAGCTCTCCCACAACCTGATGACTCCAGCTCAATTCAGGGGCCAGGTTTAGGACGGTCTCCTCCTCCCCTTCTCTGCCATGCTTTCAGTCCAGCCACCAGGTGTGTGTCTAAGAAAGGATTTTGCTATGATGTGCTTTCTCGATTATCGCTCATCAAAATGGGTCTAACGGCATGGCATGGAATCTTCCTTAGGATCTTCATCTAAGTTCTACCTGATCGAAGAGAAGATCAGCATTCAGATCTACCCTGGCTGCCCTCAAGGTCGTACAGCCGCTGTCCTGCACCAGGGCACCTGGTTGAAGGATGAGGGGCTGAAATCCCACCCTGCTCCAGCCATCAGGTGAGACCCCTGCTCTGCTCTGCCGGCTGCATCCCAGAGGAAGGTATGCTTTCCCTAACTTGCATTTTGGCCATGGGAGGCCCTGAGTTTTCCTTGATCCTCTCCCTCCCAGAGACTGCAAAGTCTAGCATTCATCTCCTCACCTCCAAAGCTATAGATGTTTTAAGAGGATATGCCCATGGCGAAGGTGAATTCAGTTTGAAGATACGCTTCCTGTTCAGTGAGGAAGGAAGAATAAAAGAAAGAGGGACAGAAAGAAAGGAGAAGAATAAAAGGAATGGAGATGAGGTCACCTTCCTGCCTATTCAATTGTGGTTTCATCGTCCTTCCTTGGACACAGCTGCAAAGGGGTAAAAAATCAATTTTTTTTCTATTACTTCACGGTGAGGAAGGAGAAAACCTATTTGTAAATTGAATTAAACCCAATAATAGCATGTCTGCGTATTTGTTGAGAACTAGAAAAATTAGCTAGCGATACAACTACGTAATCCAGCAATGTAACTAGAAATCAGCACTCTTCCATTTCAAAGCTTATCTGAGACATTTTTCTTCTTCTTTTTTAAAGAAACACCCATGGCTAAATGTCACTAAGACTCTTCGGCGTGCCAACACATCAACACCTCAGTAAGGACTCTGAAAAGGAAGGGACTCCAAAGCCCCATCTGGGAAGAACATACTTCCAGATTTTTGCCTTTGCTGCTTGTGCATCTCAGTCCATCAATAATGACTGGGTATGAACTAGAATGCTCTAAGAGACGGTTTCTTCCCAAGTTGCAATCAGTGGGGCTGACTGTGGAAGAAATTCCCCGTGTCTGTGTAGGCTAGATCTTGTCCACAGAGACCCTAACCCATCCACGGAGAACCGGATCAGCAGGCTACTGCAGTGAGGGTCCTGAAACTTCATTAACAGTCTGCCCTCTAGTGGGACAACACAGTATTTCAAACAACTAGGAATAGAAAAGACTTTTTTCTTCTCTGTCAGAGGGCAAAAGAATTCAAGTTTTCCAGATAGTGCAAAGTGAGGCATTTTTCCCTCATAAGACAGCTTCCAGAGCTGAATTAAGCAAGGCTCACAATGATAGGTCCCCAGGGCAGAGTTAAAGACAGGTGGTGCTGTGGTGGAGACAGAGGTCTTTCTTCTCACATCTTTGTGAGAACGCTTCAGGGTTCTTCTTGGGCAATAGCATTCAGTTCCCTGCTCTCTCATCATAAAAATATGACCCACTCTAAGAGCAACCAGCCTATCAGGAACGTTAAAATAACAGGCTTTTCCATAATTTTTGGCAAATCATTAACACAGAGGAGCCTTTCAAAAGGGTCATGTTGAATTTTTTGTTTTTAAAGGCAGAGATGCACATTTTTTTTTTTTTAAAGGCCAAGTCTTTGTGGCTGTTAATTTTAAGAAGAGAATCCATTTTATGATGGTGGCTGGATGTTGGTAAGGCAGAAGATGATCTTGAGATCTGTTGTCTGGACATTGCTTCTATCTTTTAAAAACCTTCAGAATTTGGCTTGCTTCAGTTTATCAATATGGTAGCACAGTTTCAGCGCGGGGCCCAGCTTCAGACCCAAGTATTTCATGATCATATCACTCTTCAGCAACAAGAGAGCATTGCCATCAATCTCCTGGCAGAACAGGATCAGAAAAAAGAAAATCCAGAAGGTGGTCAGAATAATAGAACAGTGGCTCTGGTTAACATGTGGTCAGGGGATGAGGCGAGGGAATATGGATTTACTCATATATACATCTCTTAGTCCCAAGGCAATCTCTTCTTTAAAAAATAAATTAAAGCAAACAAATACTATGTGTTCCTCTTCCCATAATCTCCCTGAGGTCAGATGATACATTGGATCTTTCATATTCCTGCTCCCCCTACTGAAGGAACCAAACATAACTCCAGTTATGTTCCCGATATCCCCCACATGATATTTATCTCCTTATCTGCTCTAGGACCAAAGAAGCAAAAAATTTACAATGGACTTAATGTTTGTGTCCCCACCCAAATTCAAATGTTGAAATCCTACCCTCCCATATGACAGTATTTGGAGGTGGGGATTTTGGGAGGTAATTAGGTCATGAAGGTGGAGGCCTCAAGAATGGGGTTAGTGTCCTTATACAACAAGATGGCAGTCTGCAACCCAGAAGAGGATTCTCACCCTGATCCCAGACTTCCAGTCTCCAGAGCTGAGAAATAACATCACTCTTGTTCATAAGCCAGCCAGTCTATGGTACTTTGTTATAGCAGCTTGACTGGATTAAGACAAAGTGTCACCTGTTAGACCCTGAAACTAGCAGTTACTTTCCCATTTCAGGTGCCGGTACGAGGCCCTGACTGCCTTCCATCCCCCTAATCTCTTCTATCTTTTCTTGGTAAGCCCACTGACCTTGAGCTGATTACCAAATTGCTCATTCCATTTGGTGAGGGATTTCAGGTGTCTGGCCCTATCAATAATTTGAGGTGGCAGACAACTAAATAATGCACCTACTTCATCCCAGGATTCAGCACAAAGAACTACTAAGGGAATGCCAACCCCTCGTGGTCGTGGTATTGTTCCGATTTGTCTCTGAAAATGGTAACCTTCCAGAATGCGTGTACAATTCATGAACCTACTAAGGCTGGGTTTCCTCATTCACCTATCCTGTTATTTTCAGGTCACAAGAGACAAAGGGTAGAAAGTGTGGGTGCTCAGGTTGGGAGAAGAGGCAGTTACAGGACTCATAGCCATGCAAGGCTCACCAGCCCTTGTTCTGCATCTATGCAGCCAGTATTGATGGAATACCTACTCTGTCACTCACTCTCTGTGTCGTTGGCAAAATGGAAGAGTGAGCAGATCTCAACGATGGGCCTAATATTCTCTCTTTACCCCATCTCCTAGACTTCCACCATCCCCTACCACTCTGAAGGAGAGCCAGACTCCTCCTACCCAGATCTGTCTTCACATAACCCAGTCTATGGTCCCTGCTCTCAAGGCCCCATTGTCCAGCGATGTTAAATATATCCCTAATGAGCGCCTGGGTGGCTCAGTCAGTTAAGCGTCTGGCTCTTGGTTTCGG